TAATATAGACTAGTTTAAGTTGGATGTTTTCATTTTGATACCCAACGTTTGTAAAGAGTCTCTCTCTCCCAAATAAATGGAATTATATGCAAAGGGTCTTGATTATCATATATCAACAAAAGAATCTTTATTGTTTCTTCTATTATATAACTCCTGAGATTGTCAATGCAAAATGTTCTGAAGAACTTTTCAAATTTCTATCAAAAGATCTTCAGGACTTTTTACCTTACTCTTTAAAATATATAACAACTGCTTAAATATATCTTGCTTTCTTGCATGCTGAAAAATGGTATTTGTTGTTCCTAAAACTGATATATTCAGGGGTGCTGATCTTGTCTATGAGATTTCTACATCTGGTGTACTTAAGAAAGTTTTCAAAATTAATAAATCTTGCTTTTCAAATCATAATATTGTAGTCTAATAATATTTCGTAGTTTAATATATTTTTTCTCAAACTGCAACTGTATCTTGCAATAGTGTAATACTGTCACTTTTAATTGTTTCAGTCTGCATAGTTTCACTGTATTGCATAGTGGCTTGCGAATTTTAACTTTTATTTTTTAAAACATCTTCACTTCCAACAAGGCTACAAATAACGATCATTAGAGAAAAGATGAAGTTTAAGAAGCAAAATAACAATTAACAGACGACTTAAAAGATTGCAGGTAATATGAATCAGGAAAACAACATAAAAGGGAGCAGATTCCAAAGAACTGGTGTTTGAGGAAAAAAACTTAATGAATAAGAATTTTTAGAGCACATAGGAACAGTCACAATAAAATTATAAGATTTAATTCAATGATGAGTAGTATCAGAATGATTTTTAGTAGATGGCACAAGAGACACTAGCTCTATAGAGCAGCACCTATTATAGTATTTATAGAAAAGAGAAAGAGATGCAACATAGGAACAAGTAAAAATGGTTGAAGGTCGACTGTAAGAGCAAGTCTAAATAAAGCAAAGCCATGAAAAAATTGACTTAGTTTTAAGAGATTTAATTAACAAAAAAATATATACATATATTAAAGTTATTTGTGCATATAGAGTACTCATTAATATATATTTTGACATGTTTTAAATTATTTGATCTCCTTTTCTCGAGCAAAACTACAAACTTTTGGCTTAACACCCCTCATCAACTTTTGCACAATGCTATTCGGAACTTTATCACAAAAAATTACACTTTTTGAAGTTCAGCATTAATTGACTTTTACATATTATATTTGTATTTGTTGCTGACAGTTCTATGCTTAATGCAAACATAAAAACTGTGAACAGGTATTTGTCTAAAGTCGAATTTGACATAATTTTTATCATCAAAAGTTAGGCAGCCATAGAACTTTGTCAGAATGTTGTCATACAGTTTTCTTGCTCATATTTTGATTCATTTTCACTGCTTTTTGTTATGATTTGTATATTTAGTTTTGCAATTTGAGTGAATACTGTAAAAATACTTGACTCCTATAAATGCTATTACTGCTTTCATAATATAAATAAAATATAACAATTCTTTCAAATCTTAATTGGTTAAAATTCTTTCAAATCTTACTTAATTAGAATTCTGTCAAACTTAATTAGACTTTATTTTTTGCACAACAGAGAGATATGTATTGTATCTATTTGCTCTTTCATAGTCATATAGTCTAGAATTCTGCAAGTATAAACAAAAATTTTCTGAGGCCTACTTTTTGTTCTCATACCCTTTTTTTTTTCAGATCCTGACTTGCAATTGATGGATAAAAAATCCTTTTAGTGTTTGAGAAAAGGAGAAACAGTTGACTGAGTGATTTTAGCCAGTTTAGAAATGGTTTTAGATAATAATCTAGTAGCTTCTAAGTAAATTCGAAAAATTCTTTCATGGTTTATTGTTTCTTTTGACATCATTTTTCATAATAATCTTTCAGGAAAATGTTTGTTTATTATTATTTTTTTGTGAAAAGGGTACTACGTCTTGTTTATACTTAAAAAGTTTACTTTTTTGAATCATATTTTGTCATAGTTAATCATAGTTTAAAACTCTTAAAGTTGAGCCAATGTTAGAATATCGAAATCCATATTAATGATCAGAACGTAAGTTATTAGATTCAAATGAGAGATTAAGTGTTTGTTAAGTAAAGACTCAAAATCATTGCTTATGATAGTAAGAAAACTAATGGGACAAAAAGTAAGGATGCCACTTTTTAGCAGGCTGGAAAACTCTGATAAGCACTTGTTAAATAGTTCTGAAATTATAGACTAAAAAAGAAATTTCAGTTCTTTTCTGCTTGTAATTACTGTGTTAATTTTGATGTTTTTATATTGGTGAATAAATTATATTGGTAAATGCAAACCTTTCTCTTCTACTTGATCTCGTTATAGCCATAAAAAGAATAGTCTGGAAATGCAGGCCGTTTTTAATTGTTTTTATTGTTTAAGTTGAAAATCAGGTGGTCTGTGTAAATAATGTGCAAAACAAACTTTAATGATGGTTGAAAGTTCAGAAGATTTTGAGCCTATTTTTGAGTTGCATCAAGACAAGCTTGATTCTTTTTTTACAGTTATTGACAAGGATTTGTTAAATGTTGTTGCTAAAAATCAACATGCTTCAGATATACCACTGATAACACTTTTCTGTATATATATGAATATTCTGTAACAAAAAATGTTTGAGCTCTAGGGGTTTCCACATTACTCGGATTTGAAGTATGTAACTATGTATTTTTGCATCTTTCTGGTTAATCAGTTTAGAGGGATGTATTTTCATCTGGGAACGCTTGTGTACTTTCAGATAGGGATCGATCTGTTATTGCCTATTTATGTAGGTATGTTTTTAGCACACAATACTGTTGCATCATGTTTTCAGATATTTATAAGGAAGGATACTATCAACAGTATATATCTATTTTGCTTGCTGCTCAATATCAGAAAGTTATGATTTCCTTGAGCACAAACTTGTTAACATGTGTAACAGATCAGGCTTGTGGAAAATGAAAATTGAGGCAATATGTTTTTTTATTACTGCTGAAACAACCTTTAAAAATATGGTTAGTAAGCTTACTAAGACTTATAGACTTATAAATCTATCAATAAAATTGACAGCAAAGATATTCTATCCTCACTTTTTGAAGATACAAATTTTTTATAAAATTTTACAAAGATTAGAAGTGAAACTGATACTTATATTAATAAAGAGGTTTGTTTAAATGTTCTTGAAGACATCTAGAACTTGTATGTGAAAGCAAGGATATTTTTCTATGTCAAAGAAAATCTACAGGCTTACAAAATTAAAGTTCAACAACTTAAGTCCAAGTCACTGTGAACTTCACTAAAAAAGAAGAGTACTTATTATTAAGATCAACAGTATGTTGATTTCACATTTGACAATTGGAAACAATTATCTGATATTATCTCAATTTTTAAAACAGCTATATCATAGCTACAAATGGGTAAAAATATTTTTGTGGTATCAGAGTATATATTAATAGTTTTTATTAAATTGTTTTCTTTTTATTAGAAAAGGTTTTCTACAATCTAATTTATTAGATAAGGATTTTAATTTCAACTCTCAATTTTAGTAATTGAGAGTTGAAATTAAAAGACGACTATATAAAATTTACAAAAGCTTTACTTTTTGGGGATTGGAAACTTTACATAGTTAACAGTTTTTTGATGAATTTTAGGGCCAATATTTTAGGGCTTTTATTTCCATATTCCAAGTTTTTTTGGAAACTTTTCCATTAATTCTTATTGAGTCTGTTTATTAATTTTTTTGCTTAATAAAATTATTAAATTAAAAAATCTGTCTGTTAAATAAATTCTACTTGTTATCAACAAGGAAAATATATCTTAAAACTAAAAAAAAAAAAACTTTTACATGAGTATTGAACTGTTCTAGAAATTGTGTCATGCTTAAGCATGCAAATCTTTTTCATCATTTTTTGAGCCACCTTTTCCCTTGTAATCAAGTTCAATCATTTAATAGACTCACTCTAACTTCAATTATCAATTTTAACTCCAATTTTCTTATTTAGATACAAATAGAGATCAGGGGCAGAGGGCAGGGGCAAATCCATCATTTTTTGGTCTTTGAGAAAGCTAACTTCAAGACATGGAGCAAACTCCAAACATTTGTTTATACTTTTATCAAATATATGCATTATGCTTTACAAAAAATTGCGATGTTTGGAGCCTGAGAACAAAGAATTCCCAAAAGTTTTGCCTCGCTGCTCCGATCATAAGAGCAACATGTTGGCAAAATATTTTTTGCACTATTCTCAACTAGATTTATATTCATTGATAAATTTTCAATTTCATAGTAAAATATTTTAGTGCTCAAAAATTAAGATCTTATAAAGTTTGAACCTTCCTCAATTTAAAAGGGTTACAAATTTTATACGGTCATAATTTTTGAACATAAAGAGATTAAACAATAAAACTTAAAAATGATTGATAAATTTCTAGTTAAGAGTAGTACAAAAAAATATTTTATCAACTTCTTGCCCTCACATTTGGGGCAGGGGGAAGAAAATTTGATGATATAGATTGAAAGTGTTTTTTAGTAATCTATTTTATGAAAGCAGCCAAAAAAATTTAATGTTTGCTTTCAAAATAATGCTTAACAAGGGACCTTTTTTTACACAAATGTTTTGTTTTAAATAAAGATTTTAAGCAACTATATAAATAAAACTGTGGCTATTATCTGTTAAAATTTTTTAACTTTGTTTATAATTATGATTTAAATATAATGATTAACTATTTTTAATAATAGTTATGAAATATTAGCTCTAAATTGTCTAATACACTAGTGCCAAGCCAGCTCATTACGTCAACCTATTCAAGTAAGAAAAGAAAAGAAATTTTATATAATTACAAGCTAGTATAATGTTACTTAAATGTATTAATCTTTTTTTGATCAAATCAATCAATATTGGGTCATAATCTGTTCATTTAGCCAATGTGTTTTAACAATTTGTGGCTATGAAAATAGCCGTTTAAATAGGTGTATTATAGAGAAGCTTTTATTCGCTTTCTGCATGGTACTGGTTCTTCATTAATCTCAAAGTGAATATCTTCTAAGGAATTATCATCTTTTATAGGTCGGAAGACATTTCGATTTCAAATGGTATTATCATTATAACTAAAATCACAGACAAATGGATTATTCTTGCGAGAACCAATTTGGTGTTGATGTCCATAATAATTTTTTTGTGGATCTTGACAAAATCTTTCTGTTAATATATAAGTTTTAAGTTAATAAATTTTATAAACTCAAGAGCAGAATTAACAGTAATTTTAATTGCTTTGTAGGTTTGCCATGATATAAACATTTTACTTCTATCATTTAGAGTAAAATTACCGGTTATTGATGGAAACTTCTTTTCAAATCATGGCAAAAATTCTGTTTTAAAGTTTTTTAGCCAGTTAAAACGATAGTCATCAACAGAATTCTGTTTTAAAGTTTTTTAGCCACTTAAAACGTAAAGTAAAGCCAGTATCAACAGAAGAAAATGAGAGTGAGAATGACTTTGACTTTTAAATTTATTCTATGATTACTAATATACATCATATCAAAAAAACTGTCAATCATTGAACCTAAGTTAGCTTTAGAAAAAGCATCTGAAAATTTATAGTTAAGAAAGACTTTACTAACAGTAGTGCTAAGAACTTAAGCTGCCATTTTGACGTTCATAATAGAATAATATGATAATGTAATGTGTTTATATGATAATTTTTGAAGTAGATAAGTAGAAAACACATGTTTGGTTTTTTTTTTAAATGCCTGCTATCCCCACATTTTCTTAAAGCAACTGAGTCACATAGCAGTGCTATGTGACTCAGTTTCTTGTTGCTTTAAGAAGATGTGGGGAGTAAGATATAAAGTAAAGATATTCAAAATCTGCATCCTTTTTATCATTAGAATTAGATAATTGTGAATGCATTTTCAAAATTTTTGGTTAGGAGCAGCACCATCACAAGTTGTTGCTATAACTTTTAACTTGCATTCCAGTTCATATATATCAACAGTTTTCTAAAGTTATGGAAAATTTTGGGCTGTATACACTTACATACACATGAATATGTGAACACTTAGCTTACTTCTATTAACTTTGAGTTCTTCAAAATGTCTCTTGCATACATGATAAGAATCACTAGCAATTTATTTCCTTAAAGCTGAATCAATCAATCAATTTTTTGTGATAATCTCTATCAATTTTCTTCTCTATTGAGCATTATATTCTGTAACTCTGACCTTTAGGAAGACAAAATATAGTTATACCATGTGAATAACAAGAAGTAGTACAACCACAACAATTTTCTGTGGGCATTGTTTTTTTTTATACTTTTATTTTAACTCTTTATAAAAAATGGTTTGTTTTGCACCTTAAAGTAGGCTGGGTACAAGAACCTAACATCAACACAAAAACTATTGTTCCAGACTATTCATTCTTATGACTATGATCTTGTACTATATTGTACTACTGACCTGACATATATTTTACTGACCTGTCATATATTTTTCAGTAACCTGACATATATTTTACTGATCTGACATATATTTTACTGATCTGGCATATATTTTACCTAACATGAAACTTATCAAATTTGTTGCCAAATTAACAACTGCTTAAATGGTCTCTTTCTGGTCTGATGATTTTTCTTACTTTTTTAACATTAAATAACTATTTTTTAACAAATAAAACAGATAAAGTTAAGTTTGGAAACTTACAAAGATAATCATAATAAAAAATTATTTTTATTTAAGTATTATAAATGCTTACAAACTCAGTTTGTAGGCATTTATAATATACTTAAATAAAATTAATACTTAATTGAAATAATAATTCAAAAGATGCAGAAATATTTTCATATTTAGTTTTACAATCATTACTGCCTTTATAATATAAATAAAATATTTCTTTCAAATCTTAATTGATTAAAATTCTTTAAAATCTTAATTAATTAGAATTCTGTCAAATCTTAATTAGATTTCTGTCAAATTTTAATTGGTTTGCAAGTTCATTAGAAATATCTCTTTTTCACATTTTTTAAAATTAAAATAAATACACAAAATTATAATTAAAATATTATTGAAATTGCAAAGTTTCATTTTATTTTTAAGGTATTTTTTAGAACTATAAATTTTTATCTATTTTGTTTAGATATTCTTCAGATGAGCTACGAAATTTCCCTCTAAATACTGTGCTTAACACAATAGACTTGAAAACTTTAATTTGCTCCAATCAGGTTATTTTCTATTAAAATTTTTTTCAATCAGGTTATTTTCTTTTAAAGTTTTTTATTAAAATTTAATAATCTTTTAAAAATACAAATTGCAAATTTAAAAAACTTCCATAAAATGCCATGGTTCCTGCTTCATCATGAAATATCAACAATTATGCAGCATACATTATTTTTTGGTAAAATCTCCATTTAAAAACTTTTAGTTAATATTATTAAATGAAGATTTAATCTCTCAGTTTGTTGTTTTGTTCATTTTTAAAAATTTATCATTTGTAGCAATCTTATTGGTATTATGAAATTTACTCATAAATTGCACGGTATTTATGCCATGTAAATTATGAGTAACTTTATCAATTTATAAATTTATGAGTAACTTTATGAATTTATAAGTTTATGAGTAACTTAATGAATTTATAAATTTATGAGTAAATTTGATAATAGCAATAAGTTTGAAAATATTTAAAACATTTTTTATTTAAGAGTAACAATATGAAAGAGTTTTTATTATAAAAAAATTGAAAAAAAAAGAGAAATTTGCTAAACGATTTGGAGGCGTTCTGATTTTAACCTACATAGAATAGATTTAAACACGTAGAAGAGTATACTAAACATCAAGAGCGCCTCTGATGTTATTTTTAATAGAAGATGAGTTTAATTTTGCATGCTGCTCAAGAGCAGGATAGTAATGGATAAAAATGGGATTAATTCCCCACAATTTTGCCCTTTATCCTTCTTATTTATACTTCTGCTATATGGTTCATATTGATTTCTTGATTTCATGATTCATAATGATTCATACTAGTTACCTCTACCTACTAACTAGTTTCATACTAGTTAATAAATATTATTAGTTTAATAATATTTATTAACTAGAGTAAATTGTGCTTTATCAAAATAAATAAACTAAGCACTGACATTAATTTCAGTATTGACAATATTTTCAGTATTGTAATTATCACATTATTATTGGTAATCGCTTAGTTACCAATGTCATATTTAGTTAGGTAATTGCAATGATGTAATTTTTATAGAGCGTATTGCTCGGTGATTTATTGTGAGTTGATTTCTATCAAAAAATTGTGGAAAAAATTTTTTTATTGAAGATTTGATGTTTTTTATCGTTTTTCACTTTATATTTTAGCAGAATTTCTCATCACTCTTTCCAAATAACATCACAGAGAAGCCAATCTTACTTGAGTTCATTATTTTTTCAGGGTACTTAATTCCATGTTTCATAGCACCTTTTTTTTCCAGGGTTATCATGCAAGTTGGTATATCATAATTTTAAATATTACAAAGTAGAATTTCTTCAAGCTCATCTATTATGTTATCAAAATAAATTTGTAGTTGTTTTTTTAATGCAAGTTTTTTTTAATGTTTGATTTAATTTAACTGTCAACTCTTCATCAGAATATTGTTTGAAATTATTTTTACTGTACAATTTTATGATTTTAAATAATCATCAAGTAACCTTTTGACATCAAGTGTATCTAATAAAAATCCTCAATTACACATAACCATGATTCTAGTTAAAAATAAATGCTCCTCATTCTCATCAATGAATGTTGATGCACCGATCCACTTTTTATGCTTTGTGTTCATTTTATTATTGATAGTACTTCATGGTATATTAAACTTTTTTGAAGCTTGACGAGTAGACATACCTTTATGAATTACATATAATGCTTCAAATAAATGTTGTTAGAATAATTACTTCTATACATTCCTTCAAGTAATTGGTGAATAAGTATTGTAGATTTCCATGAATTCTTCCAATTTTATTTCCAGTTCCTTAATAAATCTCTAAGAGGCATTATACTTAAAACAAAAATAATATAAATAAACTATGCAATTTTTAATTGTGCAATATAATGTGCAATTTGTTAAATTGCTTAAAAATTTTAAATTGAGTACTACTTATGTGGTCAATAAACCTTTTGGGTAACTGACCACCCTGTAAAAAAAATCAGAATGTTGATACTTGAACCTAAAAAATAATAGTATTTCATATTTAAACATTTTTCTTTAAAACTGTGTTGTTTGCTCAAGTTTTAGCTTCTCCCAGACTACATTCTGTTTCTCATTTTCTGGTTAAGTTTTACCTAGACTTTTTAAACCTATTTTTTTATATTGAAGAGCATTTGCTAACATGTTAAGTTATTTGCAAACAAGTTTCATCATTTGCAAACATGTCTCATCTTTTAATTCAAGCAATTAATTAAACAAAAATAGCACAATTTAAAAATTAAAGTTATTTTTATTTTTTTCTCAATTCACCTCCTTAAGGCTGAGAAAGCCACTACAGACAAGAAAGCTCCCAAGTTCCCTATATGGTAAGCAATCTGCTTCTGTGGTTTGTAAAGAACACCATGCATCACTTGTAAAACCTTGAATATGGATTTGCATACAAAAGAATACAAAGTTATTGAAATTTATTGGTCAATAATAAAAAGAATTATTGAAAAGCAAGAAATCAGCTTCAGAGAAAAAAGATTTTTGTAAAAAAATGGATAGCAGCTTAAAAAAAAGTAATTCAAAGTAAGATCCAGCAGATGATATAGAGTATTCACAAAAGTATTAGCTTTCTATTTAATAGTCCAATAAAAAATGTAAAAGAAATATTGAATTAATAAAGTTAGCTCAATTAACTTCATTAACAAATTATAAAAATCTGTAGTTTTTAAATAAATTAAAGGGCGCTGACTTTCATCAAGTTCAATCTATACTATTTGTATGCAATCCTACTTATTTACTAACGTCTTGTCATCTATAATTTTTTTTCCCATAAAGAAAATAATTATAAAACTTTTTGAATCTACAAAAATAATTATAAAACTTTTTGAATCTACAAAAATAATTATAAAACTTTTTGAATCTACAAAAATAATTATAAAACTTTTTGAATCTACAAAAATAATTATAAAACTTTTTGAATCTATAAAAATAGTTATAAACTAGACAGTTTTATAATAAAATTTAAACTTTAGTTTAATAAGATTTTTTAAGTATTTTAAAAATAACACTTTTATAAGTCAATACTTTTAAAAAACAAACATTTTAATTGTGTTTAAAAAATAATGGCGTTCTTTTATATAACAGACAAAGCTTAAGCTTAAAAGAATATTTTAGGAATGAAATATTTTTTTATTTACAGTTAGAGTACAAGCTAAGCCTTAATTTTATATGCTGATATTTATTTATGAAAAGGTCTTTAATAACTGATATACTATAGTATATCAGTTATTACAGATCTTTACAATTATTGGTATTTTATTTATCTTATTTGTTAATGGTATTTTGCAGAATGAAATCAATAGAGCAACTTCAAGTGGTAAACCATTAAAGGATGATGTGTCTCTTCAAAAAGTAGATGAAATAGTAAGCATAGTATGATGATGATGATGATGATGGTAATGATAATGATGATGATGATGATGATGATGATGATGATGATGATGATGATGATGATGATGATGATGACGATGGTGATGAGGATGATGAGGAGGATGAGGATGATGGTGATGATGATGATGACATGTTTTTGATTATTGTAGAAAGATAACTATTGTGGAATATGTATGAAAGGAGAAGAAGAAAATAAAAATGGCATACCAGAAAAGTTGATAAATTGTTCACAATGTTCAAATGGAGGTTTTTATATTTTTTTTAGTTTTAGTTTTTTTTCAGTATAGTTTTAGTATAATTATTATTTATACTAAAATTATATTCTGTTTTAAAAATATTTTTTTTCAGGACATCCCTCCTGTCTTGATATGAATAAGTCTTTATTAAAGGTGATTAAAGGTTACCCATGGCAGTGCATGGAATGTAAAGTCTGCACTGAATGTCTTGCACCTCATGATGAAGTATAAGTTATAATTATTTAGTTGTCTCACAAGATGTTTAAAAGTTATTTATAAAAGTAATTTATTTTTTAATTTTTATTTGATTTTTTCATTGGTGTATTTTTAGCATGAAATGATGTTTTGTGATAACTGTGATCGTGGTTACCATAGCTACTGTGTTGGAGTTAAGGAAATACCTAAAGGTGTTATATGATTGTTTCTTTATATTGTTTTTGTTATAAAATATGGAAATATTAAATTATTAAAATTAATTGTAGAGAAGTCTATTTAATTTTTTATATAAAATTCACCTGCCTTGGGGAGGTAAACTTGATAAAAAAAACTGAGAAGATATTATAATAGCTAAGTGGTTCATACATTTTAAACAGGACGCTGGGTATGTAATCGGTGTGGGAAGTGTTGCTCCTGTCTTTCTAGACAACCTGTGTCTGATGGAGGATCAGGTCGATGGAAAATGGAGGTAAATTTATTTTTTTTTTGTTTTTTTTTTTTTTAGTCAAGTTACATAATAACCATCAGCCATCTTATTTTCAGAAAACATCATATGTTTTATTAGAACAAGGTAATCATCAACAATTTGTTTTCATGCAATAACCATCAGCAATATGTTTTGTTAACATGTAAAAACTATCAGTCATACATTTAAATAAAATAACCATCATCATACATTTTTTTAGAATACAGGCCTTGTTACATGATATTTTTAGAATACAGGCCTTGTTACATGATATTTTTAGAATACAGGCCTTGTTACAAGATTTTGTGGCATAAAGGAATATGCTATGTAACTCAGCTAAGCTTATATATTTATGTTGCTAATAGTTAAATTGCATCATTAGCATATTTTTAAGTACAACCTTATATTTTAAACCACATTAAAAATCATTAAAATAGTATAACTATATCAAAAATTGTAAATGAAATGAAATTTGAGAAAGATTATATTTCCTTATTATTTCTTTGAGCAATCCTGTACATAATCTTTTGCTTTTCCCAGTTTTTTTTGTATATATAATGTATTAAAAGATTGTAAACAATTTATAAATATGTTTTATCAGTTACCAATGAGATAATTGTAAACATAATTTAGGTTCGTAAATAAAACTTATGTCATGTAATATTGAATTAATAATAAACAAAATATTTTTAAATATTTTTAATAATATTTAAGATTGTTTGGAAGCATATCGTAATTTTTTTTTGCTTTAATTAATATAATTATTGTAGTCACATGTGTCTTTCATTTTTTGCTAAATGTGACGCACATCCAATGTTCTTTTCCAGTTGTGAAAAAGTTATTTGTTGTAAGCGATATAACAGTTCCTCGTTATTAGAAAAAACAAAAAAAAAAAAAAATCAATGAAAATTTCAAATTTTGTTTGAATCTTTTATTACATATTTTTTTTAATTTATTATCTTTCATCATAATATTCTTTGTTTAAAATGAATACACAAGTTAACATTTTCTTGTTACTACAAATTTTGTATGTATATATTTAATAGGGAAAACATTTTTTGAGAGCATAATAAATAATTTAAGCAAAATCAAATAGTTTTTGTTTTAAAAAGTTTGAAATTGAAAAAAAAAAAATTAGAAAATAATATTAGTAACAAATAATGTAATAATTAGTAATTTAGTAATTTTAATATAATAATTAGTAATTTAGTAATTTAATATGACTTTTAATAATTGAATATAATAAAAACAAACCTTTCTTTTAAATGGTTGAAGAAAAGTATGCTCAAAAAGCTATGAGGAGAATAGAAAAGTAAAACTACTATATTTTGAAGCTACTATAGTTAAAAACTACCTAAGTTTGAAGCTGCCAAGATGAAAGCATAATACAGCTATTGGGTCATTCCATATAAGATAAGTCAATTTTTTGGAAATTTACCGGTTGAGATTTTCTTTAAATTTACACCCCTCATCAGATTTTTTTTAAATTTACACCCCTCATAGGTTTTATGGAAAAAAAGATTTTCCTAAAATTTCAACTCATTATCTTGAAGCATTCTAAAATAATGGCAATTTGAAAAATTAATGTTATAGCCTATTTCAAGCAATTTATTGTATTTTTCAAAAAAGTTTCATTTTCAAATCCATATAAATTAAAAACCAATTATCTTAGATACTTAAAAATCAATCTGATAGCAGTAATCGACCTCAACTTTCAAAAAAAAAATATTTATTTTGAAAAAATAATTAATTTTGGCCATTAAAACCTTTAATTAAATATATGAATAAATTTGAAATTAAAAAAAAGCCAAGAAATAAATCTCAATTACAATTAAAGAATGTAAAATATAAAAGTTGTAAAGAATAAATCTTGTTCTCAAAATAATAGTTTAAATATTTTTGTTAAACATTTCAAAACTTAATATTTCTTCAAATTCTTGCTCAGAAATTTGATGGCTTCTTGCTGATTGACATTGTCGAACCAGTGTATTTACTTTTGCTAAAACATTTACAACAGGAACCCAACATTTTTCTTCTCACCTGGGCCATTTAAAGTTTTCTCCATTTTATTGCATAAATTTTAAATAAATATCTGAATTATCTGTAATTTGTTGTTGAATTACAATGAACCATTCATTATCATAGACGCATGCAAGATATATTCCAGCATGCAAATCACCTATGAGGTCCAAAGTCTGGCATTTTTAATTATTAGCTGCATTTACTGTTGTAAAACATGTATCACCTGATATACGTTTAATTTCTAGCTTCCCATCATTATATGGTATAAAACAGTGATGTGAACGCATTCCTGGAAATCTTTTAGAATTAGAGCTAGTCTTTGCTACAAATCATTTTACGGTCCAACCAATGCCATGGCATGGACTTTTACCATGACTTGTTGCAAAAAAATGCCACTCTGCTCGTATTCCATGGTCTTGAAAAAGATGACATAGATTGCTAAGAGTATTTTAGATTTTGTATTAGTTAGCTGCTCCATCACTAAAGTAATAACATAAGGTCAAATTCGTCAAGACAATTTTTATATCTTCTAAAACTCTAGCTAAAAACGCATTAACAGCATTAACATCATATTGCATACAGCCAGATATTATGCAATAGTTTTTTGGTTTGAGTTTATTTTCAAAATCTTTTATATATATAACAAATGAATGTAGTGTTTCCGATGAAATCCCTGGAATGCGTCTTGCGCTATAAAACTACAATTTTCTTCAAAATTGTAGTTAAATAATAATTATGTTTTGTTAAAGATTTTCTTTTAGATTTCGAAGGAATAAAATGGTTTGATCACAAGTTTTTAATTGTAGAAAACAATATCTTCAAGAAACTCCTCTAACGAAATTTCTAAAGTTACCTAACTATTAGCGTTCTCCTTTTTTAACCACTGTTTGTGCGGCACTATATCCTCATTTTCAAAACCATGTTGATTGAAGATATCACTTATATTATATACTGTTTTAAATTTTCTACATTAAGGCAGTTAGTATACAACTGCGATTAGGGCATGAAGTATTTTTCTAAGTATTGTTTTCCAGCCTGCTGGAAGGCAGCATCTGTTATCCCTATTTTTTAAAATTCTGGAGAGCCATCTGATTCCTCTAACTACTGCCTCATTAAGCTTCTTCCTATTATAAGCAAGGTTTTTGAGTCTTTAAGAATTAACAAACATCTCTCATCTTGAATCTAATAACATACTTTCTTATTTCGATGTTCTTGTTCTAATGCTAATTTGCTAACAGTAATAACCGATAGATTTTATCGTGCATTAGATAGGTGTGGATTAGATAGGTGTGGAGAGGTTAAGGCTATTGTTCCTGATATTTCTAAAGCTTTTGATAAAGTTTGGCATTTTGGTTTTCTCTATAAGCTTTCTTTTTATGGTGTACCAGCTAACATCTTTAAGATTATCGAGTCCTACCTTTCCAATCGTAGTATAAAAGTTGTCCTTGATGGACAGCACTCTTCTTCATATCCTGTAACTTCAGGGGATTCTCAAGGCTCTATCCGTGGCCTTATACTCTTTAATTTACAGTAACAATCTTCTTCGAATGATAGATGCAGGAGTTTACAAAATAGTATTTAAGTTTAAATAATTGCACATTTAACGAATGCATATTTTCAAAGCTGTCTCTGCGTTAAGTGTCCGAACAGTCTCGGTTTATAAAATACTTAAGTAGTTCTTGTAGCAGGTGTAAATAGTTGTCTGTAAATTATGTAAATTATGTAAATTAATTTTATGAATTAATTGATAAATTATTAGATTAAAAATACTTAAACAAGTTTTGCTAATTGTTTTTTTAACAATGTTTTTAAGAGTTTGTTAGTGTTTCAAGTAATATTACTTGCAGTTAAATAATGCATTATTAGTTACATAATAAACTAAAGTATAACAAAACTAAGTTGACTACTCTTGATAAAATGATAAATATTTGTGTGATAAATGCTTCAAATAACAAATATTTGTATTCGATAAATGCAAGTTTTTTAAATGATAAATATTCCTGTTGATAAATTTGAATTCTTCAAATGATAAATACTCCAGTTAATAAATTTGAGTTCTTCAAATAAAAATGGGTTACTAATGGTTACCAAACCAGTTACCAATTCTGAGTACTTTTGTTATCTTGTAATTTTTTTTCGAAAATCTTATTTTATTGTATTTTCATCAATCTTATTTCATCATTTTGAAAGGCATTCCTAACATTTTTGTCATTGCATAATGCGCTGCAAAACTGAAGACATGATATAGCCTAAAATTGATTAATGAAGGTTTATTGATTAATGAAGGGTATTCATTTTTTCAGCAAAATTTGTTAACATAAGGATTTAATTCTATTTTATAATTTTTTTCAGCAGAAATTTTTTTTTTTTTTCTGAAAAATTTATCTTATTATTATGTAACATGAGATTGCAGAAGTTTTACTAAATCACTCCTCCTCTCTCCCACCTCCTCCCTCCCTCCTTCTCCTTTGCTCTTGTTATATTCTTATAACATTTTTTCAAAAAGATTTTATTGTATAGTAAAAGTTTCTTTAAATTTCAAATTCAAGATCAGATATCTATATTTAAAATCAGGCATCTATATAGAGATCAGGCATTTATATAGCAATAAGTATATCAGTAGGATCATTTTCTCTCCTCCAATAATCAGTATGACTGCTTTTTATTTTTGCTACAGTTGCTTAACCTAAAGTAGTAATCATGTTATGCAATATACCACACTCTTTATCTGGTTGTTGCAGCTTTCAAATCTGTATTTAATTTCTTTTCATTTAATACTCCACTGGCCACATCAGATGTAGCCACTGGCAACATCAGCTTACATGCAATATATTCGAAGGAATTTAAGCAAAAGTTAAATATTTTTGATTTTTTTTCCTTCTATAAAAAATGGTTGCTCATACTATTTAAACTTTTAAATGATGAAACATTTTAGAAGGCGGTGATCTTCTTTTTGGTAATATTGTGGAACATTTTAGAAG